TCCAGGCAAAGGAACAGCAAGTACCTCCTTCTAGAAAAAGAGGCCAGTGTGGCTACAGTGGAGTAAGCAAGGAGGAGAATCTTAGGGGATGAGGTCAGAGAGATCTGAGGACGAGATCTTTCTCACTGGGAGTGAGGTGGGAAGTTGCTGCAGAATTTGTGCAGAGAAGTGATATAATCCAACTGGCATTTTTAATGACTGCTGGCTGCTGAGAAAATATGAGGGCAAGAGCCCAGAGATTGAGCCCTGCAGGACTCCATTGTTAAACTGGAGACATGAGGAAGAAACTAAGGAAAAGCATCCAGTGATGTAGAATAAAAACCAGAAAGTGTCCTAGATACCAATAAAATTTCAAAGAGGCAGGAATGATCAACAGGCTCAAATGGTACTCAGAGGTTAGGAAGATGAGGACTGAGAACTAACTACTAGATCTAGCATGTAGAAGTCATTGGTTATGTGGATAGGACCAGCTTCATTGTAACTGTGGGGATAAAAGCCCGATTGGAGTGGGCTCAAAAGAGAGTGAAGTAAGTGTAGAATAGAAATGGAAATCATACTCCACAGTCACATTTCATTGCTAAGCTTTTAATGGTACAATGGTGTAATTAAAACATCAACATAGTCTTATTTTTTAAAAGTCAAAAGATACAAATCAAACAATAGTTTCTTTCAACTATTACCCTCAGTTTCAGATGTCACCACTATTATCATGTTGGTGTGTATCTTTCCAAATCTTTTTCTAAGCTTTTATATCCGTATAAAAGTGTAGTAGTGTGGCCGCTTTTGTTTGCTGCTGTTATTTACATGAATGGTATCACACCGAATCTGTCGTTCTACTTGCTTTTTAACTTAATTGGCCTTGAAGTTTTTTACCAGTAAATACAGGTAAAAATTCTTTGTAATTGTTGCATAATAGTACATAGTATAGATGTACAATAATTTATTTAAAGATTCCCCAACTGATGCGTAAAATTGTTCCCAGATATTCATTTCCACAGTGTTACAGTAAGCTGCCTCCTCTTTGTGTACACACCCGAGTATTGCTCTAAGACATGCCAAGAAAGTGGAATTGTTAAGTGAAAAGTTACACATTTTAATCATCACCTTCCTAAAGAGCTGACCCAACATATGCTTCCATCAGAAGGGTTATTGAGACCACCCTTTTCCTACCCTTTCCCATATAAGATACTGTAATTCTTTTAAATTTTTGACAGTCTGGTAGGTGGAAATTATTATTTTATTTCTTAATTATTATGATTATTGCCAAGGTTGAGCATCTTGATACCAACATATTTTTTTTGGTTACTCGATTATCTTCTTGGAATTAAGCAAACAGTGTTCATATCTTTTGCCCATTTTCCCATTGGGTTGTCTTGTCTTTCTTGATGTTTATTTTTTGGCAGCTCTTTACATATCTGTAATACTTCTTTGAATGTTGTATATGTTGCAGTTTGCTCCTCCTAGTTTGTCTTTTACATTTGCTTGTGGTCATTTTTGTTATACATAATTTTAAATTTGATGTAAGTAAATCTTTTCCTTGTGATTCTCACATTTTGTGGTTTAAAAAGTATTTCCCTAATTCAAGAATATACATGTATTTTCCTACATTTTCTTCTAAAACTTCTAGAATTTTACTATTTATCTTTAGCACCTTAATCAATATGGACTTTACTTTTGTGAATGGCTTAAGAAAATAACCATCCTTTTTCCCCCAAATTTTGTCTCTATACTACTCCTTAACCAGTCCAACCCTTCCACTCTGCTTCCACACACACACAAATATTCTGTTCCACTGAACTATTGGTATTTTCCTATACCAATATCACACTATCTTAATTTCTATGGTTTTACTTATTTAATATATGATAAACCAATTTCTCCCCTCCTTATTCTTTTTCAAAATATTATTCCCAGTTATTCTTGGGCACTTGTTCTTCCAAAAGTATTTCAGAATCAAAATTCCATTGAAAAATCCCACCAAAACTACATTGACTATGTAGATTAACTTATGAATAATTGATACCTTTTTAATATTAAGTCTTGCTTTGCAGGAACCTAATGTACCTCTCCATTTTTTTTCTGATCTTCGTGTATATATATATTGTATATACTATATATATGAGCCTCATAAAGCTCTTATTAGTTTATGCTAGGTATTTTATAGTCTTTCATTGATGTAACCAACCATTGGGATCTTTTTTCTTTCTTTTTTTGAGACAGAGTCTCGCTCTGTCGCCAGGTTGAAGTGCAGTGGCGTGATCTCGGCCCACTGCAACCTCCACCTCCCAGGTTCAAGCAATTCTCTTGCCTCAGCCTCCTGAGTAGCTGGGATTACAGGCACGAGCCACCATGCCCAGCTAATTTTTGTATTTTTTTTTTTTAGTAGAGACAGGGTTTCATTACATCGGTCAGGATGGTCTCGGTCTCCTGACCTCATGATCCACCCGCCTTAGCCTCCCAAAGTGCTGGGATTACTGGTGCGAGCCACTGCAGCTGGTCAGAATCTTTTTTTCTATTGTATTTTCTAATTGGTTATTGTCAGTCTATAGGAAAACTATTGATTTCTATGTATCAATCTTGTATCTGACCCCCTTGCTGTACTTCCTTATTCATCCTAGTCGTTTGTCAGTTGAAAGTCTAGTGGACAATTACATTCCATGTGAATAGTGGCAGCTTTTTTGTTTGTTTGTTTGTTTGTTTGTTTGAGACAGAGTCTCGCTCTGTCGCCAATAGTGGCAGTTTTATCTATTCTTTATTGGTTTTACTTAGCAGTTGTTATGGTCTAAATGTTTGTGTTCCCCTCACATATTGAAACCTGATCACTAATGTGATAGTATTAAGAAGTGGAGCCTTTTGGAGATAATTAGGTCATGAGGATGCAGCCCTCATGAATGGGATTAGTACCCTTGTAAAAGAGGCCCCAGAAAGCTAGTTCATTCCTTCCACCATGTGAGGACACAGCTAGAAGGCACCATATATGAACCAGGAAATGGGCCCTTACCAGACACCAAATCTACCGACACCTTGATCTTGGACTTCTCAGCTTCCAGAACTGTGAATATAAATTTCTGTTGTTTATATAAGGTACTCAGTTTATGATATTTTGTTATAGCAACCCAAACAAACAAAGACAGAAAATTGCTACCAACATGTGGGAATGCTGCTTATGAACCAAAAAGTATCTGAGACAGGTTTCAATCAATTTACAAATTTTTTTGCCATGGTTAAGGACATGCCCAGAAGAGATTTAAGACAGAGTCACTGAAATGGTCTTTGCCTTCCTTCAAAGATGATTTTGAGGGCTTCAATATTTAAAGGGGAAAAGCAGGCCGGAAGGAAAGGAAGAAGGAAGTGGTAATCCGTGTGTTGCAGGAGAAAAGGAGCAGATAAGGGAATAGTCAAGTATGTATTCATCTGGCACTCAGTAAATCAGCACTTTATATAAGATAAAGTGAAGGTAGAGTAGCTACCCATGGAGATATTTAACTTTTTATCTGTAGCTGTCTGCTTAGAACAAAAGAAAGGGTGGTTTCTTGCATGACTCAGATTTTAGCTTAATTTTTTCCTTGTGGCATAGTGAATTGGGTTCCTGAGTTTTTATTTTCCATTCACATTTCTTCTCCCTTTTCTTTTAAAAATGTTTCATCTTTCTGAAACATACCAAAAAATAAATAAATAAATTTTTAAAAATAAAATTTCTCAGAGAAAGCATTTTAGAAAAAAATGAGTCTGGTCTCAGGTTGTTTCTGATCTTTCATGGCTAAAACGGTTTTAGCAGTTTGTGAAGTCTCATGTCCTGTGAAGAAAAAATAGGGGACGAAGGGAGAAAAACAACAACAAACAAAGGAACAATCCTGGAAAACTGCTATAGGCCACATTACTCTGAAATCCATACATCACTAGGCAGGTATGAAAGTGGCTTATGTGTGTAAATAAGGTTGTTGTTATTTTCTTCTAAAGTTTAAGTTTTCTAGCTTCAGTTTGCAGGGCTTTACAAAAGCACAGCTTAGTTTTCAGTGATTCCCAAATTGGGGAAAATGGGGGAGAAAAGAAGGAAAAAAATTGAAAACATTATTTTGAAGATTTGTAACCAAGAAAAATTAGAATTCAGTCCAAACTGTAGAAAATAATAAAAATTGAAAAACATTAGTCAAGACAAGAATCTAATAAGTATACTATAGGTTTGGAAACATAATTTTTCTCTCTCCAGTTTCCCATTTTTACTAAAGACAAATCCTAATTATTTGTATACAGTGCAGCAAGAATAATTATTTTTACATAAACTTTTAAATTGGCTTAGATGCAACTTTTGTTCTGTAGAAAGAATCTCGGATAAGACTTTTTTTAAAGTTGAGCCCAGCCATGGATTTGTACCATCAAATACCTATGAGTTGGGTGATCCTCTCTCCTCTTGAAGTTCCAAGATAAAACTTGGGGGCCCTAGGCCTGTCAGAAAATGACATTCTTTACTTACCACAGGTCAGGAACTCTGTACAGGGACTGTATGGACAAGTATGAGGCCAGTTTTCCCAAAGGGCTTTTATTGGATCCGTAAGTCAAATTCGATTCCTTAAGGAAAGCACATCATTCCAGTCAAAGCCTTGGTAAACTAACCAGTTTCTCCAATTGTGTTCTATCATAAATGAAAACAGATTCTTATTGCACTTATACAAATAACTGTATTGCTATAAGTTAAGAATGCTCACAAATAGTTTCCAAATTCTGGAGAAATCAGGTAGAAAACAAATACACTCCAAATTTTGTTCTTAGGAGTATACTTTACTCAATTGTTAAAAGCTGTAAATAGCTTGAAAGTTTTCTTGAGTCTGAAAAACAAAACAAAAAAAGTTAAAAAGATTACTTCGAACGGGAAGCAGCTGATGGCCTCTCCGGGTGGTGGTGGCGGCCAGGCCAGGGCGGGTGGCACAGGGATGGCATGAGGGCCCACGGCCCGGGGGGCTGAGGCACCCATCACCTGCCGCGGGGGCCACGCGTCCTCCATGGAGGCTGGAGAGGAACTGCTGCTGCTGGCCGAACTCAAGCCCGGGCGCCCCCACCAGTTTGACTGGGAACTCAAGCCCGGGCGCCCCCACCAGTTTGATTGGAAGTCCAGCTGTGAAACCTGGAGCATCGCCTTCTCCCCAGATGGCTCCTGGTTTGCTTGGTCTCAAGGACACTGCATCGTCAAACTGATCCCCTGGCTGCTGGAGGAGCAGTTCATCCCTAAAGGGTTTGAAGCCAAAAACCGAAGTAGCAAAAATGAGACGAAAGGGCAGGGCAGTCCAAAAGAGAAGATGCTGGACTGTGGTCAGATTGTCTGGGGGGTGGCCTTCAGCCCATGGCCTTCCCCACCCAGCAAGAAGCTCTGGGCACACAACCACCCCCAAGTGCCCGATGTCTTTTGCCTGGTTCTTGCTATGGGACTCAACGATGGGCAGATCAAGATCTGGGAGGTGCAGACAGGGCTCCTGCTTTTGAATCTTTCTGGCCACCAAGATGTCGTGAGAGATCTGAGCTTCACACCCAGTGGCAGTTTGATTTTGGTCTCCACGTCACGGGATAAGACTCTTCACATCTGGTACCTGAATAAACACAGTAAACAGATTCAAGTGTTATTGGGCCACCTGCAGTGGGTTTACTGCTGTTCCATCTCCCCAGACTGCAGCATGCTGTGCTCTGTAGCTGAAGAGAAGTCAGTCTTTCTATGGAGCATGAGGTCCCACACGTTAATTCGGAAGCTAGAGGGCCATCAAAGCAGTGTTGTCTCTTGTGAGTCCTCCCCCAACTCTGCCCTGCTTGTCACAGCTTCTTACGATACCAACGTGATTATGTGGGACCCCTACACCAGCAAAAGGATGAGGTCACTCCACCACACCCAGGTTGACTCTGCCATGGATGACAGTAATGTCCACATTAGCTCACTGAGATCTGTGTGCTTCTCTCCAGAAGGCTTGTACCTTGCCACGGTGGCAGATGACAGACTCCTCAGGATCTGGGCCCTGGAACTGAAAACTCCCATTGCATTTGCTCCTGTGACCAATGGTCTTTGCTGCTGCACATTTTTTCCACATGGTGGAGTCATTGCCACAGAGATAAGAGATGGCCACGTCCAGTTCTGGACAGCTCCTAGGGTGCTGTCCTCACTGAAGCACTTACGCCGGAAAGCTCTTCAAAGTTTCCTAACAACTTACCAAGTCCTAGCACTGCCAATCCCCAAGAAAATGAAAGAGTCCTCACATACAGGACTTTTTAAGCAATGCCACATCTTGTGTTTCTTTGTAGCAGGGTAGATAGTCCTGTCAAAGGGAGGTGCTGGAATAATGGGCCAAACATCTGGTCTTGGATTCAAATAGCATTTCTTCAGGATTGTGAATAGAATGTAGCAAAACCAGATTCCAGTATACTAGTCATGGATCTTTCTCTCCCTGGCATGTGAAAGTCAGTCTTAAAGAAAGAGATTCCACTTGCATGGCAACAGAGCTTTACCTTAAATCTTTAGTCCAGTTACGAATACCAAGTGTTGAACTCTTTCTAGTCGTTTTGATTCAAAGTGCAGTTACTGATGTTGTTTTGATTATACAAGTAAGTAGGCCTCCAGAGCCTCTCTAGTGGCAGAGCAGCTCACACTCCCTCCACTGGGAAGGATGGCTTCTGCCTAGTACCTATCCTTGTGTTACTGATGCAGTGGTAGCATTGGTTCAAGTTCTCTCCTGCTGTGGTCAGAGTTGCTTCGACGT